CGCCGGCGGAAGACCTGTGACGACAAATACCGATCAATCATGGATACATCGAGTTGACCGGCATATGCATCTCGTGACATCGCCCAGGAGATGGGAGTTAGTCACCAACCATTTTTTAACCATCTGCAGAAGGCTGGATACAAAAAAAGGTTGATGTTTGGGTGCCGCTAATTTGACGCAAAAAAAACTTCTGGACGAATCAACGCCTGCGAATGCTGCTGAAACGGAACGAACTCGTCCCATTCTTGAAGCGGATGGTGACTGGCGACGAAAAATGGATCACATACGACAATATCAAGCGAAAACGGTTCGTGGGTCGAAGGCGGTGAATGGATCAGGAAGGTTTTGCTGTGTGTTTGTGGGATTGGAAGGGAATCATCACTATTGAGCTGCTCCCATATGGCCAGACGTTATCTTACCATCTACTGCGAACAACTGGACCGCTTGAAGCAGCGTCGACCAGAAGCGTCCAGAATTGGCCAACAGGAGGTGTAGTGTTCCACCAGGACACCCAGACCACACACTTCGTATGACTCGTCAGAAGCTACGGGAGCTCGGATGGGAGGTTTATCGCATCCCCATATAGCCCGGGCGTAGCGCAAGTGATTACCACCTGTTCCTGTCCATGGCGAATGCCTTGGTGGTGTGAAGTTGAACTCAAAAGAGGCTGTGAAAAGTGGCGTCGAATCTCGCAAATAAGGAGGGGGCTTCTACAAGAGGAAGAAGTTGCCGTCTAGATGGAAACAGATCATCGAACAAAACGGCGCATATATTTAACTAAATCCGATCACTGTAACACTTTTTATAAAGAGCATTGAATGAAGAGCAAAAAGCGAATATTTGACAACCTTATATATGGAAGTTAGATAGAATAACGTAAATACTAAAAAAGAATATAATCATATTGTTAAAATGCTAACAACGACTATAATGTGCTAAAATAAAATATGAAAATTTAATAAGCTAAATATGCATATAGTAAAACTATGCAATACTTAATATAAAGTTAGGTAGAAATGAAAAAACTGAGACTAAAATTGAATGTTCTAAATGTAACGTAAAATAGTAACGGACTACGGAAGATATTGCAAATACATTGAATGAATTTTTAGTGAAGTAGGCATAAATTAGCGATAATATAGGGTTAGTAAAAATATATAAAACAATGCGTCAAATGGCATTCCACATAATAGCAAATCGATCTTTATACAACCGATAACTGTGAATGAAATCTTAAAAGCTATAAATAAATGAAAGACAAAGCGGGTGGAAGAGATGAATTAGTACTAAGATAATAAAAACTTAGATCACTGGGTTAGCCGCCTCTCGAATATATTTTTAATCTATGTATTTCTAAAGGAATTTGGACAAAAGCCTGAAATCAGCGCTGATAGTACCGATTTTCAAAGCAGGTAAAAGGATAATCCAAGTAACTATAGACCGATCTCTTTGATATCTAATTAGCTAAACTGTTCGAAAAGCTGATGCATAAAAGAATATACGATTTCATGGAGAAGTGCAATATTTTCTCAGATAAGCAATACGGTTTCCTAAGAACAAAAGTACAGCAGATGCTCACTCTATATTACTAACTACATATGAAAATTTTAATAAGTAATAAAACTGCAATAGCTTTCCTAGACCTAGCCAAAGCGTTCGACACAGTGAACACAGATACTACTAGATAATTAAAAAAGTATGGTATAGAGGGATAGCACTTGACTTAATAAAAGATTATCTGAGTGAAAGAACTCAAGTAACTAGATATAGAGATAGTGTAAGTAGTGATAAATATTTAAAAATATGGTGTGCCCAAGGTACAATCTGGTCCACTATTTTTTGTATTGTATATTAATGATATATTTAAATATGTAGAAAGGGGTCAATCATTTCATATGCGGACGACACTACTATATTATGTACTGAGAAAAACTGGGATGATGTTAAAACCAAGATGAATATAAGATTATCTAATATTTGTAAATGGCTAGAAATAATCAACTAACCTGAACGTTGATAAAACAGTATATATAACTTTCTGTGGTAATAAACGTAATATCCCAGTAAATTATATTAAATATAAACAACAAAGAAATAAAGAGTGAACAGTAATAAGTATCTAGGAATGAACATCTCATTACCTAATGAAATGGGATATACATATAAAGAAGTAATTAAAAGTCAGATATTTCGATTTATAATTCATAAATTAAAAAAATCATGGAAAGTAAGACCTTAAAAATTTTATACCATGCATTATTTGAAAGATATAAACTATGGCATCATAGCGTGGGGGGTGCTTACAGAATGTAATTCAGCCACTCTTGACCATGCAACAAAGAATACAAAAAAAACTTGACTTAGGACAAAATTCACCTTTAAACATTAAACTAACCTTTGTATAAATAGTTTATTGTACTTCTATAATGCATGTAAAATATTGTATATCAACTATGAGGGAAGATCAAGGCATAAAATATAAACTGTGTAAATCAACAAAAACTATATAGTAAAATTCGTATTATGTAGCTATGAAATATTACAATCTAATGCCGACTGAATATAAGAATCTCAATGTTATAAATAAGCGAATAAAATTAAATTGAAACAGTGGTTATTGGATACACAGAGTCATTTAAAATAAAGTTTAATTATTAGAAACTAAAATGAAAAACTATTTAAAACACTCAAAAGGGAGTGACATTATACATTTATACATTCATATATTTACATATTATAGTAATATTTACATGTACGATAGGCCTAGGCTTATCTTTTCCCTACCCTATCAACAGGCAATTGTTTTTTGTCTCTATAGGGTTTAATATGTAGTTCAACTGTATATTTAATTGGGAAATAAATAAATAAATAAAAAAATGTGGTATAAACTAAACCAAAGCGGATAAATTTAATATATTGTGATGTGAGGAAATAGTCAACTAGAGGTTCAGAAATTATTATATTAGGCATATGAGGTTACTACCAGATTAATTTATATTTAGCGCCAAGCCACATTATTTTTAAGAAAACTGGTTCACTTAATATCTACTCAAGTTTACTTGAGACCACGTTTTAATTAAACTTTATTATAGAAGATTCATGAAGTTTAATTGTTGGCATCACGACATACTATTACTGAAAAAAGAAGTTCTCTGAGTTTCGTTACGATACCTCACAAATTGACCGATATATATGGTATAAAGTTCATCAGAAGTTTAAAAGTATTTATGTTGGAAGCGAAGTATTCAGGCTATAGTTTAGGCACAAGAACACACTGTTATTACAAAGATAACCTTTCTGTTCAATAATATACATACAGAGCACTATTTGTGCAAAGTTTTATTAGTATATACTTGTATTCATTGTTACTTCAGTTGTATATATAAAGTGAAATAATCATATGGAATTTAAATATATGATATATGGAAAGTAGGCGCATTTTCAATGTTAAAATATTGCTATGTTCTAAATTTGATTGCAATTCTTCAAGTAATACCGGAGATATAAGATTTCACCTAAACCTAGGAGGTATCTCGCCCATTGTCCAAATTTTATTCTTTCTCCTATCATGTCTCTGACGTATTTATTTATTGAGTTATCGCATTTCTAGTAGAATTACCGTTATGTGGAGAGTTGGCTATTCACCCATTTTCACACAGTAGCAGAAGATGCTAGCAATACTTGTTCTCGGCAAGTCAGGTGGATTTAGCTTTAGTGGTTTGTGAGGTATGTACATTAAATTAAAGGTTTCTGTTTTATTTTTATGGCTTAGTTATAGCACTTTATAAATTTTTGCTTAATGGCAGTGGTGGCTTTCTCAATATTTGCTTTTATTGCTTTCACGGACGGACGGATACCAGGAATTCAACTCGTCTCCTCATCCTTACCATTTATATATACAAAAGTATATATCTATCTCGATTAGCTTTAGGTGTTACAAACATCCATTAGGTGAACAAAACTATTATACTCCCTAACATTTTGCGAAAGAATTCAACAGTTATTATTCGACTAAAGCCTGAATGGATTACAATAATACTTGGTATCTTATTAACTTATAAGTATTTATGTTATAGGCCATGTACTGACTTAATTTTATCACTACTTTTTCCTTCAAGATCGAGGTACTAATTTGTATAATCAACCTAATTAACTCAATTCAAATATATTTGATATAAACTCAAACAAAGTGGCGTAATTTAATATATTAAGCAAATGAAAAAAAAAATAATAACCAGAGAAACGGAAATCAATATAATAAGAATAAGGACTTCCACCTCGGTCTAGACCGATTTCATTCATATTCAGCGCTAAATCACATTAATGGTATTCACACCATGCTATACTGAGGAACACGGTTCCATACAATTTAATAAAAATAACTTAGACACTGACCCACATATTCGGCATAAAGTCTGCCAGAATGGCGAAAATCAATATTCATATTTAGTATACGGGTACTGGGGTATTTAGTGGACATATTTCACGTATTTTCGGCACTAAACTATAATATATTCATCATTATGCGTTCACTTAATTTTGCTACGATATCTTGCATATTGACCGATTCATACAGTGTAGAGTCAACTTGAAGCTCGAAAATCTTTATATGAGGTATTCTAGTGGAAGTTTTTACCCGATTTTACCCCTTTTTGGTACAAGGGCACCCTATTATATAGAAAATATTGAATAAAATATCTCACAGATTACCCTACTTACAACTTGCGTCTTTGTATAGAATAAATGCTCATTATATTATTAAAAATCTCCAAATAATGTTTTTACTCGTTTGATACCTCAGCCAACATTTTAATAGAAAAATTTGTATCGTTACCAATAATTTTACAGACTAGAATAGGATTATAGATTGAATCGTTTTATATTTGTTAAAGAATCTACTGTAATATCAAATTTTAGATCTCGACGAAATTAAAAACTAAAGACATACATTGTATAATATTTGCATCAATTTCCACCAAATAAAAAATAAGTCGTTTGGATCTTACACACGTCTGTCACGGAATAGGCCGCTTCTTTATTCAATTCCTTCTTAAATATACATTTTGATGAACGGGATATAGCATCACGCCATATGATACATATTTACATATACATAAGGATAGTTCCCATTTACATTCCCTACGCTAGAGTGAAGTGACTAGTCTAAGAATTCAATGCTAAAGGGAGGACACAATTATGCTGATCATTCAGCATTCAGCAATCAGCTGACTGGCATTGGTTTGTGTCCTTGCTAATTGTGTACAGGACTGCATTCTAATGTACTTAAATCTTGAACATCCTGCCCGGCTGAACCCTCGCGGTTCAGTAATTCTTCTGCGGGACCTGTTAGGCGGCATAATTTTTGCACCGGTCGCTGACACCGCTGTTTAATAGGAATTCCATCCGATGATCTCTGGTTTGCATTGTACTCTATCGTCACGGTACGTACCAGGCCATCACTGCCCGGGTGAACGTCAATAACGCGTCCCATACGCCAAACCGATGGTGGTAGATTTTCACCACGTATAAGAACGATGTCACCACGCTGCACATTGGGTTCCGCTCTAGTCCATTTATTCCGAGTTTGGAGAGTTTGTAGGTATTCGGATTGCCAGCGACGCCAAAAGTGCTCCAGCATTTTCTGGAGTCGTTGCCAATATCGAAGACGATTTTCTGGAGCTTCAGGTAATGGGGGATCTGGGCGGCAATTAAGTGGACGCCCGATCAGGAAGTCCCCCGGAGTTAGAGCTATCCCACCTTCTGGATCATCATAGAGAGCTATCAGTGGTCTCGAATTCAGACACGCTTCAATGCGAGTCAAGAGAGTGGACAACTCAGTGTAACGCAGCGTCTGGCTGCCCATGACCCGCAGTAGATGCTTTTTAGCCGAACGAACTGCCGCCTCCCATAGACCTCCATGATGAGGTGCAGAAGGGGTTATGAACTTCCAACAGGTACCTTCAGCTGCCAAATGTTGTTGAGCATATGTCGCTACCCAATTTCTTAAGTCCTCCTGCATTTGACGATTCGCGCCTACGAATTGTGTTCCATTATCACTGTATAAAGTGGTGCATATACCTCTTCGACTAATAAAGCGATCGTAAAGATCTATAAATGCCTGTGTACTCAAGTCCTCTGCCAGCTCAATATGTACCGCTCGTGAAGCCATACAAACAAATATGGCACCGTATGTTTTTGTAGTCGGTAGCACGATGCATTCCCACACGGACATGGAATGGCCCGCAGTAATCCAATCCGCTACGAGAAAATGGTGGTGCCACTAATACTCGTTCTTTTGGAAGCGAAGCCATTTGCTAGCGTTGTAGAATTTGAAGATGCCTACGACATGTAGTGCATGTCCAGATGAAAGACTTTACTTGAGCTCGTGCCCCTATAAGCCAGAAACGTTGTCTAAGAAACTGCAGCATTTGTTGTATACCACCATGTAGGCAACGTGTATGCGCATCAGAGACTAGCAAGTAAGCCAGGGCCCCACGTGGAATTATAATTGGATGTCGATGAGCTTCATCTAAGTCGGTGTTGGTGAGTCGACCACCTACTCTCAGTATGCCGTCAGTATCCAAGAATGGAGTGAGTGCTATGATTTGACTACGACCCACAATCCTGGAATGCAATGCAAGCGATTTAGTTTCGTGTTTAAAATGATTACCTTGTGCTTGTCGAACGTGCAGAAGTAACGCCCATCGCTGTTCTTCGAGAGAAACTACATCGTTTCTGTAACCACGATATTTCGGTAACCATCGCCTTAACCAAACAGTGGTGTTGAGTAAACGACTCAATTTGCTAAATTTCTCTACGAGAGGTATCCGCTTGTCTCTCGTGGATGTCATAATCCACTGGTAATCAGCTCTAGAAACGAAGATGGAGACCGGACGAGATTCAGCTATGGAGAGTTGCTCTTCCTCTTCCGTCAAAACGGGTAGGCTCATTGTACAGCCCACACCTCGATGTATGCACGTCGGTCCCGTCCACCAAAGGTGATGCTCAGCTAAGAGAGCAGGAGATAGACCCCTGCTTGCACAATCGGCTGGATTCGATTCCGAGCGACCCAATACGTACATGGGGCGTCCTGTAAATCTAGAGCCTTACGTACGTTATCCAGCGTCTTCGTTAGAAGATGAGCACCACATAGTTCGAGGCGCGGTATAGTCACATCCTTAATTGGTGCTATCTTCGACTTCGCTGAAACAAGAACGGTGCGTGACGTTCCGCTGTTATCGATGGTTTGAACATATACGACTGCTGCGTATGCCTTACTACTAGCATCGCAAAAGCCGTGTAAATGCACTAAAGAGCCCACTCGTATTCCCAGCCAACGAGGAATACGAAGCCGTGAAATATCTTGTAAGCTATTCCGAAATATCAACCATGTATTGAGCAGCTCTGCTGGGAGTTCGGCATCCCATGGTAGACCAGCTTTCCATAAGTCCTGTATGAATAGTTTGGCCAACACGACTACAGGTGCTAATACGCCAGTTGGATCGTATAATTTCGCCACGTCACTCAAAACCCTTCGTTTAGTATGCATGGAGGTGTCGTCAATCATGCTTACCTTGAAGAAGAGTTCGTCACTCACTGGATCCCAGTAAAGACCCAATACCTTTGTCGTTGAGTTGTCTAACTCCAGTTCCGATGCGGAAACTGTTGTACCGGTTATTGTAGATAATACATGTGTAGAGTTGGAATTCCACTTTCCCAATATTAATTGTCCTTGTTTCAAAACCGTTGCTACGTCTTGAGCTCGGGTAACGGCAAGTTCGTCGCTGTCGACGCTATCCAAATAGTCATCAACGTAGAAATTATAAAGTATGCTATGACGCGCTGCGGCAGCCCGGCTTGGGTCATAGATGACCTTATAATTGTCATTCGCACATTGACGCAGTGCGCGTATTGCGTTGAATGGGCTACAAGCCATTCCATAAGTTACCGTCTTCAATTCATATACTTGAAGAGGTTCATCTGGTGATTCACGCCAGAGTATTCGTTGCCATTTACGATGTCGTGTGTCTATCAATATTTGTCGGAACATTTTCTTAACGTCTGCAGAATGTCGACAATATTTGCGTGTAACTGAGGTCCAGAAAACTGTGTATCGTTTAAGGATGTCCCATTAGAAGTCTTCGCGGAAGCGTTTAAAACCACGCGAAATTTTGTGGTTACAGCATGATGAGGTATGAAGTAACCAGTTTCTTTGCCAATGAAGGTTTCTCTGCTAACCTCCATATGATCGAGAGCAATATATTCTCGCATAAATGTGATGTACTGCTCACGAAGACATGGGTCGTTCATCAGACGCCGCTCGAGTTGTAAAAACTGGCGAACTGCCGATTGATGAGATTCGCCAAGTGCAGGAGCATCTGGCCGAAATAAAATTTGCACCTGGTATCTACCGTCTGAAGTGCGGGTGACTGTGTCGTTGAAGATCTTCTCGCAGTCATCAACTTGGACTTCGGATGTTAATGTGGGTTCTTCGAGTTCCCAGAAGCTCCTAAGTAACTTGTCCAGCCGTTGTTCGTTGACGCATTTCGCAGTAAGAGATGTGTGTGATGTGGTGTCAGCGGAACTTGTGACTGGTCCGAATACTACCCAGCCAAGACGGGTGTTTAAAGCGCAAGGTTGCTCTGGAGACCCCTGTATTAAACCCTCTTGGAAGATATCCGTCAGTACGTCAGCACCAAGTAGTAAATCCACCTGACCCGGAGTGCCAAATGTTGGGTCGGCTAGCGGCAAATCCTTCAAATGGCTCCAGGCTTCTGCGTTTATTTTAGTATCTGGCGTTACTGAGGTTATTTTCGGCACGACAAAAGCCTCAAGTTTGAAGTTACTGCTGTTGTCAAAGGCAGCCTGCATCTGAACCGTTATATGGCCCTTACTATAGACTGCAGCGTTAGAACCAATGCCTTCAATTCGTATCTCTCCTGGATGCCTACGAAGACACATACGTTTTGTAGTAGAATCGGTAATAAGACTCACCTGAGAGCCCAGGTCGCATAAAGCGCGACATGCGAATTGTCTTCCGTTGTGGTCAATAATGATGACCTTCGCAGTCGCTAATAAAATGGTCCGGTCACCATTTACGAGAAATGACCGGACCTTCCTCAAATGTCACTGTTGTCGTCGATATACCTGTGGCACCTGTGTGGAAGGTGCTCCACTGGATATATTCCGATCGGGAGTTTGACTGTTAATGTCTTCCACCATAGTCGGTGAATTGTTCGCAACGTTGTCTTTGCAAAGCATAGTATGATGGCGATGATGGCATTTAAAACAATCACGCGATGTACAATCGCGCGATCCATGATCAGCCCCAAGACAATTGAAACATAATGAGAGCCGCTTAACTGTATTCCACCGTTCGGGTATTGAAAGATTGATGAACCGTTGGCATTTATATATTCGGTGCCAGTTAGAACAAAGTTAGCAAACAACCGTTGCAACTTTCCCGGAATGTAACGGCTCAGATGAATTTACCGCTGCCACATGAGCTTTAACGGGACGGGCTGGTCTCTGATGGATAGTTGTTATACCGTTCGTAGTTCCTTGAACCAAATTGTTGGCCCGCTTCTCAATAAATAGTAAAAAGTCCTGAGCCATTGGTATGTTGTTCGTCTGAAGACTTATCCCCCACTCATACCTAGTGGTGGTAGGCAATTTGGGCAGCAGAAGTGGTACCAATAGAGCGTCCCAATGACTTACCGGAAAGCCCATAACACTTAGGGCTCGCATCACATTTTGCACGGTGTCGACTAGTCGGAGCAAGCACTTCTGGGATTCGACGGGTTGGTTGGGCAAATCCAGGATACGCTGCACGTGAGATTCAACCAACAAACGTGGATTATCAAAACGCCGTTTCAATTCCTGCCACATGTCTTCGTAGCCGCCTGTATATAATCCGCCAACCAATGGTACGCTGTCTGCATTTACATGTTGGCGTAACTTACTCAATTTGTAACTAGAATCCAGATCTGTACGATTATGAACCAGTGCCTCAAACAAATGCTTAAAAGGCAGCCAATTCGCTGGATCACCATTGAACACAGGAATCTTAATTGGATCTAATCGCATGTCCAATTGATTCGTTACACGATTATCACCTGCACTTGCGCCACATATCCGGCGTAGTCGAATACATATTTGTGTGTACAGCAATTCCGTTGCAGCCAGGAATTCGTCATGCGTGGTCAATTCACTGGCTTGTGCTGAGGAAACCAAGTCAGTATGATACTCCATGAACCTCTCGAAATGTTTATCCAACTGTCCGCGAATCACATCGCACTCAATGCTGTCCGGATCGTAAGTAGCTGCTTCTGTCAGTTTTCCAATGCGCACAATCGCGGCTTGCGCTGAAGTACGTAGATTCAGGCTTGCCATACTTATCAATCTCACCAAAAAGATGTATAATATTTGCATCAATTTCCACCAAATAAAAGAGAAGTCGTCTGGATCTTACACACGTCTGTCACGGAATAGGCCGCTTCTTTATTCAATTCCTTCTTAAATATACATTTTGATGAACGGGATATAGCATCACGCCATATGATACATATTTACATATACATAAGGATAGTTCCCATTTACATTCCCTACGCTAGAGTGGAGTGACTAGTCTAAGAATTCAATGCTAAAAGGAGGACACAATTATGCTGATCATTCAGCATTCAGCAATCAGCTGACTGGCATTGGTTTGTGTCCTTGCTAATTGTGTACAGGACTGCATTCTAATGTACTTAAATCTGGAACATACATAAATAAATCGATTATTTTGCCTTGTGGCGCACCGTAAAAAAAAGCTTTTAGGAGTCGCTTGCGTAGATTTTCTATTATTGGATTAATTTTTCAAAATTTTGTAATGAAAGTTTACTGTGTTATATGATAAACTAATAAACTTTAATAGTTTATTGTCTCTTAACTCCGAGACCCTAACACCAACTTTGAGAAATCTAAATTAAAAAAGTAGAATTAACTTCCAATAGAATTAGTCGGGCTAACTTTAATAAAATAATTTATAATTTAATTACAAAAACAGAAGAACAAATTTGTAGATGTCGAAGTAATAATTAAATAAGTAACTTAACATGTATTCAAATTATCAGCTATGAGTTCCGTCCGTTTACACACTAAGTATTTCTGAAGATGTATTATTTCATTAAACTACTTAAATAATCATTCAATTAAGATACAGACCTCACTCCAACGTGTTTGCTTATAAACTGTCTTAAAAATATTACTTGCCTTCAAAAAATTTATTTAATTTGTGTCTTAAACAAGTTAAAGGCCATTCCTTTGCATACGAGTGAATTTAGGCTATTTATGTACACATATGAGCAAAACTCCAAGCGGATTTAGGTATAACACGCATAGCTTAGTGGCGTTACATACTTTTGTAAAGATTCTACAGAGTCAATTATATTATACGTTAAATTATATTGTAGTAAACTATATTATTTATAATTAAAGAAGAAAACGATATAGTCTTTACAACAATATACGAGACTTAGAAATTTTAAAAAATTTACGAATTTGATTAAGAAATAATAATAAAGTTAATATAATATTATGTCAAAATTAACGTAAAATATTAAATTTTATGTTTTTAAAATCATACATGGATTCACTTTTGTAGCAAATCAGTAAATTTCTAAGTCGTTAGTTGATGATATGTAGTCTTTAATTTTAGAAATGTGGTAAGTAGACTAAGTAGATCTCTATGTTGTAACATAGCACACCAGATTTGATTTTGGTTGAGCACCTAACTAGAGTTATACAAGTATATGTATATCAAAATGATGCGGATGACCAGGCGAGTTAATTTCTTAAAAATTTCTAGAAATTTTCCCATATAACGGTTATGTTGAGGACTACTAAAAGTGCCATTACTCACAAAATAAATACTTTAGTAGTATCAAATTCCACATCAGAGATGACACATACATACATACCGATTGGTGAGCGGAGACTTTTTTTACCTAGTGTACATATAATATATCACAATTTTTAATTCCATTTGATTATTTCACTCTACAGTGCCTAAATCAAGAACCAAATAAGACATCGGAACAAAACTTTGCAAAAATATTTTCTTAAAGCTATGCCATTTTTATGCGAGATTTCCTTAAATAGGACTATCACTTTTCAAGATCCAGATACCGTAGTATCGTTCATTTCAGCAAATTAGGTTAATTTCAAAATAAATATGTATCTTGGACTCGAAACAAAATGTAACATTGAAACTAATAGCCTTTTCGCACAGGAGTTAATTGATCAAATAACCGGCCTTTGCTCAAGTAAAGTGATAATTTAGACCAATTTACCATGCAAAAAAAAATTTAGTTTTACATTTAAATTGAGTTGAAACTGGAATGCAACTCTACGGGTAATTGTCCACACTATAAATTTGGCTCTGCGGGTTGTTGTCTAGGCTGAGAATTTGGCTGTGTGTGATGATAAAATAACAATCAGCTGATGAATTTTAATGATTACAAAAAATACAATATGAAGAAAACAAGCATGTATAACAGCCTATCGTTAATCGAGTAGCCGACTGTGCAAAAGGCAAAAACTCTATTCTCTATTAAAATCTTAATGTACCACATCAATTTGGCTGTGAAAATAGACTATAAGTGAGTCTATGACCTAATATTATATAATTCTGTAGGTAACATTTTTCTGACATTCGTATGTCACAGTGAGAAAATGGGCGCAATTAAACTACAATCATACAATATACTACATATAAAACAAATTTGAATTTCCTCTGTGCTTTTTACTTTCCAATATCGAAATAAAGCACTAATGAATATATCGGGGATTAACTTTGCATAAATAGTGTCTTTAAGGTATGTCATGTCAAGTATATATAATTAAAATTCGGAGAGAATTCTTTCCTGATAATAGTATGCCTGTATGTCAAAAATGGGTTAAATCGGAACAATACTTTCCTTAGCCCCCATATGCCTAATATAAAGACTTTCGAACTTCCTGTTTACTTTATAACGCATATATCTGCCAACATGTGAGTTATCTTAATAAAATTTAATAGGCGTGTTTTTCTAATAACGTTTGCATCTTTGGATAAAATCAGGTAAAAACTTTCTCTGTCCCAATATACTTTGTATAGTGATTTTGATCTTTCCACCTGACTATAAACCGGTTAGGTTGGTCAAAATGTGCGATATTTTGAATATGTAAGGAGTTGGTGTAAACCTTGGTCCAAACCTCATGACCCTATAATGACTTTGGTCAATTGGTTGACATTTTCCAAATCAACTCAATATATTAAACTAAGCCGCTTCGGTTGAGTTTATATCACATACTTATGTATATCTCATTTGAATATGAATTTAATAAATATTTAGCTGAAAAAAATATTGTAATAAAACAAAGTAAGTCTGTAACCTATAATATATCTTAATTAAATACCAATCACGATTTCGTCGAATAATGAATGTTGAAACCCAATGGGGTTTGGTATTGCAGATGGGCGTTAACCGTTAACCAAAAACATAAGTATATGTACATTTATAAATAATAATTTGGTAGAGGGAATCATAGTAGAGAGGGACACCTGTGGGCTACAAATTAACCGTAAATGGTTTAATGTACATATATATCGATCAAGCTTAAGCGTCCAAATTTGAGGAGTTCTTTTAGCACTTCCTTGTACATTGTGAAAATGGGTAAAATCAGGTAATAACCACGACCACTCCCTATATCGCGGTTATGTTTACAACTACTAAAAGTGCGATAACTCACTAAATAAATGCGCCGCCTACCTTTAGATAATCCTATGTCTCAAGAACTACTAGACCAATTTTAACTAAATTTGGGATGTGACGTTATCGAAGCATTTTCAGATTACATTGTGGAAATGGGTGAAGTCAGATGACAACCACGCTTACTTCCCATTTATACAACTTTTTAATTCTTTCACTTTGCAGTATACAAATCAAACATCAATGAGAATATCAGAATAAAACTTTACGAAAATTGTGCCCTCAAGGTATTTCACCTTATTCCCAAAAATTGTCTAAACCAGCCTATAACCTTCCAAGGACCCAGACGCCATATATGTGCGACCCCAGTGACTATGGCTCATTTTTTACCGAATCTATTGGTCAATCTATGAGGTCTAATATAGAAATTTTGGGAGAATATTTTTGTGATGATAGCATATCCTTATGACGAAAATGGGTGGTGTGCCCATATTTCTAATATACATAAATATTTTCGAAGTTCCGGTTGACTTTTTCCGCATCTATCGGTCAATATGAAAGAAATCTTAGTGAAAGTCAGAACGAATATCTGTCTAATAATAGTTTATCCTCTTGCATAAAATGGATGAAATCAGAGCAATGCTTCCCCAAGTTCCCAAGTCCCCATATAGCTATCATTCGGATTTTCAAACATCCGTTTGACTTTTTACCATTTATATTGGTCAATCTGTGACGTTTCTTAATGAAATTCAGAGAGCTTTTATTTCTGGCAATTATATATCGTAATACCAAAACCGGATAAAATTGGGTCAAAATATTTCCTAGCCCCCATAAACCTTATATAAGAAAGTTGGTCAGAATTATATAAGAATTTCAAACATCCGGTAAGCTTTATACCGTATTGACCGATATACATATGTTACTATTAAGATATCTTAGCAAAATTAAGTGAAAGTAAGATATTGGATATACTATAGTTTAATGCTGAAAATGTGCGATATCAATCTACGAAAATGCTATAATTAGTCCAGAATTAATCTTGCTTTAATCAACAACATGTATTGATTTCAAATTCAAAGTCTCCTATTTTTAAACAGCTTATTTTTTCGTGTGGTATGATTCACAATATGTATTTACAAATTAAAAGTTGTTGGTAAAAAAGATACATTTTATTATTACATCACCCATCTCTAAAAATTTGTTATCTATATGCTTTGTTTTATAGCAAGAATCTAAGCAACCGAGTGCTTTGAAAATGGCCAGTATGACCAGAAGGCGTTCATCGGCAGCATCTACATGTTCATATAGCTCTGGTAAATTAGTTCAATTTTAAACTGACTTTAATTAATGACAGTTTTTATAAATACTTAGCTTGCTATACCGGTAGCTCAGATGAAGATAATGTGTGCCCGCGGGAAAAAAGGCAACGTAATACTGCAGGTAGCTCAGATTTTTGTGTAAAAAATATAAATTCACAGCAAGCCTTCGGAAGGAGAGAAATCGAAATAGCAGAAAAAGAAATGCCGGGGATATTGGCACTTCGAAAGCGCGCCTCAGAGGATAAGCCCCTCAAAAATGCCCAGATTGTAGGTTGCACGCATATAAATGCCCAAACAGCTGTACTTATTGAAACATTAGTAGAGTTGGGAGCTTCCGTTCGCTGGGCAGCTTGTAATATATACTCTACGCAGGTAATATTCTTACATATTCTTACTACTATACACCAAAAAAGTTAGATTTACTATAGTTGAAACTTAACTACGCGCCTTAGTCTATCGCGCTTTTGACAGAGATGATTGTAAGTATTGTTTATGAAGCAACTTAACAGAATAACTCCAAAAACTTTAGTCGAAATGTTTCTCTTGTCATGAAATAACGCGTGAGGTCCTTCATATGGAGAATTGAATGGGTGATGCCCTCTTGATGGTACATATGCTCGCTGCGTAAACAATTTAGCGGAAGCTCGTGCTGTGGAGAGCGTCGAATCGTGTTGTTCTCTCTGTATACGTTGCCGAAGTTCGTCGTCTTCGGCTTATGCTTGGATAAGTTCGTTTAAGGATACTGCCGTTGATATTTCTTACGGGAAAGAACATATAAGTTGTAAACTGGCTGATAAAATCCAGGCGGTGGAATTGCCAAGGTGTCGCTCTATCCGGGTCCTGATCAAAAGAGTGTAACAAAAGTTTCTTATTCGTGAAGATTGTGACATGCCGTGCTTCGAAAATATAACGAAAAAGCGTCATACACAGATAATATGAAATTCCGTTCATATGGACAGTGTTTCCTCAGAGCGGGATGAAGCTTTTGGTTGAAGGACCGGGTGAGAACCTTTTATTAAAGCCCCGTGAATATAAATGATTGCGTCGAGGGATTCCTGTTGTTGTAATATTTTTGGGGCGACTATCAGTACTTTAGTATCTCAAATGATATTGGATACTGATAAATTACATACGACTATGTATCCAATTATCTGGTCGATAAGGCAGCTGTTCTTAAGGTCGGACAACAAACGAACAGTTGGGGTGATCTTTGTGCAATAACGAAAAGCTGTATTAAATAAGATATTATATGTATTAAATAAGATATTATATATATATATATATTATATAATATCTTATTTAATATATATATAGTCTCATAAGGTTAATTTATTTCTTATTTTCTCCAATATATAAGATGTAAACAAATGACGTAAACTGGACGTTATTTCGTCTTTGGAAAAAAAGCGAAATTAATTTTCAAAATCTGTTCTCCTGCTGGCAGAAACTGCGTGCACATCTTATTTAATAAAGCTTTTCGTTATTGCACAAAGATCACCACAACTGTTCGTTTGGTCGACGTGATGTAATATTGAAGATATTCTTATATATAGATATATCTTTTTTCTAAATATTTTCTACACATTAATGTTCTGTGATAGTATCTGTACATATACGCATATATATTTATTCCCATAATATTATACTTAATAGAATGCGGTAGCTGCAGCTCTTGCTGAAGTTGGTATTCCGATATTTGCATGGCGTGGTGAGACTGAAGAAGACTTCTGGTGGTGCCTTGACAAATGTGTCAACTCCGATAATTGGCATCCAAATATGATATTGGATGATGGTGGTGATGCCACTCACTTAATGTGGAAGAAATATCCAATCATTTTCAAGGCGATCAAGGGCATTGTCGAAGAGAGTGTGACCGGTGTGCATAGATTGTACCAATTGGTGAAAACCGGAAAACTGACAGTGCCTGCAATAAATGTCAACGATTCCGTAACAAAAGCAAGGTTCGATAACTTCTATAATTCAAAAGATTCAATTTTGGACAGGTATGCCAATTTATTAAATTCAACGAAAGTATAGAATGAATGAGTCCTCTAACTTTTAGTCTGAAGCGATCAACAGATATTATGTTAGCTGGCAAACAAGTAGTCGTTTGCGGCTATGGGGATGTTGGAAAAGGTTGTGCACAAAGTCTTCGAGGACAAGGCTGCATTGTATATATAACCGAAATTGATCCAATATGTGGATTGCAAGCCAGGTACGCCCTTAAATACTATAAAGATAGCATTTCATTTGAAAAAATTGTATGTATGTTTCCAGTATGGATGGATTTCGCGTAGTTCGTTTGAATGAAATTGTTCGTCAAGTGGACATTGTCGTTACGGCTACTGGCAACAAGAATGTGGTTAGCCGAGAGCACATGGATCGTATGAAGTCTGGTTGCATTGTTTGTAATATGGGTCATTCTAATTCCGAAATCGATGTGGTATGTGTTCTTTTGTATGTTTTCCCGATATAAACATTTATTTTAAAGTAATCTACCAACGAACCGGAATTAAAGAATATTATATTTCAAAATAAATGTCAACAAACTTTAGAATAGTTTGCACTCTGCTGAACTGTCGTGGCTGAGAGTGCGTTCTCAGGTAGACCACATAATTTGGCCCGATGGTCGTACAATTATTCTTTTAGCAGAAGGGCGTCTTGTTAATTTGGCTTGCTCGACGGTTCCATCATTTGTGGTATCAGTTACAGCTGCAGCGCAAGCGTTGGCTCTCATAGAGTTATTCAACGCACCGGCTGGGCGGTATAAATCGGATGTCTACCTGTTGCCTAAAAAAATGGGTATGAATGAGACTGAGTATTTAAATATTCATTTATGTTGAAAATTGGATATGTTTCAGATGAATATGTGGCAAGTTTACATTTACCCATACTAGATGCTCATTTGACAGAACTTACCGATGAGCAAGCGAAGTACCTAGGACTAAATAAGACTGGGCCATTTAAGCCTAACTATTATAGGTTGGTATTTACATACTCAATATTCTGAAAAAAATCTGTAGAATATTTTTTTCTTCTTAGATATTAAATATAATAAGGCTTTAGTAACAAAGTCTTTTTACATATACGTATGAATATTCATGTGATCATTATTTTAATATATGTATGTATAAGACACACGCTGTTGTACGTTTGAGCTATTCTTATTTGGTTTTAAAAATATAACTTCCATGTTAATATATAAATTATTGTATAAATAATATATGAATGGCAAGATAAGTAAGTAATTGCACGATGTTAAACCCAATAAGATGACAACTATATTGTATAAATAAAACCAATACAAATTACAGGGGATAGAAATCAATTAATATGAAAACGTATCAATTGGAATGCTATACCTTATATAGAACATACGGATAGGCTTTATACCGTATATAGCCATCATAAAGTCAGATATGGGATAGAAAAATTAGGTGGAAATGTGTGAATGCAGTTCTCAAATTACCCCAACTTATTCTAGAATACTTTATTATTACGTTAGGCTATGTTACGTTATTTTCATAAAAAGTACCGATGCTATATAATCCATGCTGCTTGATGACAAAATCCATGCCAAAGTTCGTGAAGGTAGCTTGTCAAATAAAAATTGAGTTTGATCGGTCAGTTTGTATGCAACAGTTGTCAGGTATCGGCGATTCCGACAAATGAGCAGCTTGGTAATAAAGGAACGTTTGCAAATGATCCATTATTTCTGTAAGACCAGAAAGTTTCCGGAAATTGTAAATAAAACAAAAAATTGTTAATCTTCATCATTGTTTATTTTGTCGTCCTCAAAATATGCTCCTTCCGAAGCGATACACATATGTCACTTCTTTTCCAATCAGCGAAGCATGCATTGTAGGCGCTGTCCGGGACCGTCCTCATTTCCCTCTGCGAGTTTTCTTTTACGGCCTCAATCGAGTCAAAACAGGTTCCACGGAATGGTAACTTGAGTTTTGGAAACAAAAAAAGTCGCATGGGGCCAAATATGGTGAATACGGTGGTTGATCGATGGTATTGAACGAATTTTTGGTCTTAAAATCGTTCATAACAAAAAAACAACTTCCGGAAACTATCTGGTCTTAATGTATACAGACGGACAGACTCAGCCCGCCACGCTGATCATTTACATATGATATAAATATGTACGAGATGTGTTCAAAAAATGTAGGAAATTTTAAAATTTCGCTTGTTTGGAGAATCGAATAGTCAACATTATTTACAATAATATAAATATTTATAATTCATTATATTGATGTACATGCCCCTGAAGTACTAAATTTTTAGTTGTATTCATTGCTTACTTTGTCTGTAGCAGCTATGAGCTTGGCGATTCTCGTTTGTTAAAAGAAATGGATACAAGAAAAAACGTTAACTTCGGTTGCGCCGAAGCTATAATACCCTTCACAAAAACAAAGGCCCCTTACAAGAACTTGATTCCGAACGTTCAATTTGTATGGCAGCTATATGATATAGTGATCTGATCTGACCAATTTCTGTGGAGAATAATTTGTTGCCTTAAGCAATAACTCGTGCCTAATTTCGTGAAGATACCTCGTCAAATAAAAAAATGTTCCATGCAAGCACTTTACTCCGATCGTTCAGTTAATATGGCAGCTATATGCTATAGTCATCCGATCCATACAATTTCTTCGGAGATTAGATTAATGCTTTAAATAATAATACATGCCAAATTTCGTGAAGATACCTCGTCAAATGAAAGAGTTTTCCATACAAGCACTTCATTCCGACTGTTCAGTTTGTATGGCAGCTATATGCTATAGTCATCCGATCTGAATAATTTCTTCGGAGATTACATTGTTGCCTTAACTAATAATCTGTGCCAAATTTCGTGAAGATACCTCGTCAAATAAAAGAGTTTTCTATACAAACACTTGATTCCGATTGTTCTCTTTGCATCGTTGACTTCATTTAGTGATTCCTGAACAACTTTAACGGATATGACGTTGAAACTAAGGCTCAATCGTCCCAACACCCAGAAGGAAACGTCGAAGACCATAAAAAGTATATATATAAATGATCACCGTGACGAGCTGAGTTGATTTAGCCATGTCCGTCTGTCTGTCCGTCCGTCCGTCTGTCCGTCTGTATATACGCGAACTAGTTCCTCAGTTTTTGAGATATCGATCTGGAATTTTGAACACTTCTTTTTCTCCCCAAGAAGCTGCTCATTTGTCGGAACGGCCGATATCGGTCCACTATAGCACATAGCTGCCATACAAACTGAACAATCGGAATCAAGAGTCACTGAAGAAGAGGCTCAGTGAGCTTTTTCACGGATTGGTCGAAGCTAGGAGGGAAGGTTGGAGGTGGATTATGTAAGAAGCTCTCCGTCAATCTTAGCTTTAAGCTACCAGACCACTGTAGTGTTTTTCAAGCAGAAGCGGCTGATATTAAGGTGGCGGTAGACGTACTGTTATGAAATGCAGCCTCATTCAGGGCGATGAGCAATCAATCCCACAGCAGAACGGTAATACTACTAGAACACTAGAAGTAGCATCAAGCTACATTATCATCTGATTCGTTTGGGTGCCTGGCCATAGCGGAATCGCTGGCAACTGCAAAGACGCTCACATCGGAATGTGACTGAGTTGAAGATCCATTGGCGTCTTACGTTCTAGTACTTGAGCAATGGACCTTGCGAGCGGTTAGCAGGCGCTGGTAGACGACTAACTGCTGTGCGATTGCAAAATTAGCAAAGTTCAGGTTCTTCCTGGACATTGTCCAATAGGCATTCATTCGGTAAGACTAAAAATCTTGTCGGACGCTAGTTTTTAAAGTTGTATGGTCCATTGTCCAGCCCTTGCAAGACTGAGGTTGAAAAATCTCTGCAGTCTTGGGAATAAATTTGTGATATGCTCAAAGCGCTTTCTCAAGTTGTAAGGATCTTATGATCTATTATATTGGAGACCACAACGAACCGGTGTTCTAAGCTGTCCAAGTGAGATCCCTCTTAGGATCGACCTTGTAACCTAACTTAACCTAACACCTTTCCTTTTCTTTAAGCCAATCGAATATTTTTAGTCAGCCCGTTTTCGCAAGCATACATATATCACAATAAAGTTAAGTTGTTATTGACATGTCGCAAATGTTTTCATTTACTTAACGTCGATATCATTTTTTTCGCTTATTGCGGAGGTTTTAGGTACTTTATCTTATACATAAAAAACCAGATGAGAAGATGTTAATATTAACAATTATTTAAAGTAAAACTAAAGTATTTACTCGCTCATGGGCCCATTTGAGCCCAAGTTGAAGAAATGCGCAAATAAATATATCATTGAGCTGATGACTCCCAGTCATAACTATTTTTTAGTTAGTATGAAAAACAATTAAGATAGTATCCAATTTTGAGACAACAAATCTAAAGATTCATTCTAAATACACCTGATATACATGCCTACCAAAACCTTTTGTCTAATATGTCCGATCGGACTTATTGATTGTTTCCTTTGCCTTTGGTAGTTTGGGTGGTAGGTATATTCAAACAAAGTGTGGTTTCACAGGTACACCCGTTACTATTTAATTCGATATAAGATCTACAAATAATTATGTATATACACAAATGGGGGCTAACGCCTCGGATAGCTTATTGGCTCTATAAAGCAGTTGTCAGACCAATCATGACATACGGTATATTGGTATGGTGGCCAATAATGGATAAGAAATACGCGGTGAGGCGTATGGAAAGTATACAAAGAGCAGGTAGTATATGCATTAGTGGAGCTCTCAGAACAACGCCTAGCCAGGCACTAAACGTCATTCTACATTTATTGCCAACAGACCTGTTCTGTAAGCAAGTGACAGCAAAGTCTGCTCTCAGACTAAGGGAATCCTCCCAATTAGTCGCCTGCAACAAGGGACATTCTAGGATACTTAGATCCTTCCCGTTTCTACCCAAAACCACGGATTTCCGCAATCCAATAGAATTTAAGCTAAATTGCGCCCACACTATTGCCTTCCCCACCAGAGAGGAGTGGGAAAGGGACGAGGTGGACAGGAATGCAGGAATTAGCATCTACACGGATGGATCCAAACTAGATAATCGAGTGGGAGGTGGTGTCTTCTCTGCAACTTTAGACACCAAAATCGCCTTCCGCTTACCAAACCACTGCAGTGTTTTCCAGGCGGAGATCACAACGTGTCCTAAAAATAACCGAACTTTTTGGATATTGAATAAGTTGCACATGACACATTATCTTTGAAAGTTATTATTTATACAAAATAGGTTCCATTAGACTCAATACAGCGTTTGAAACGATCAACCAGCGTATGCATACATTTTTTATGTCATTCATAGGAAGGTTCTTCACCACCTCGGTTACGGTTGCTAGAATGGCTAGGATATCATCATAAAATGCTCTTCGCATGTTGGTTTTCAGTTTTGGAAATAAAAAATAGTCACATGGTGATAGATCAGACGACTACAGAGGTTGATTGATAAGACCTCTCTTTTACCCAAATCTTCAGTTAAAATTCTCTAAACAGTGTTTTTGCTCCTATTTATTCCTTCAGCCAACATTCTCGTAAGAGAAGTGAGACTTCTGGCCTTTGGTCGTCATTTAAATCCTCACGACCATTTTTGATTCGTATAAACTTGAACCATTTCTCAAGTTTAACACAAAATATTTTATTTGCTCTCTGTTCCATTTTCCTTTTGCAACATTTTAACACTTTTTTTATTGACATAACTGTAACTTTAACATCTGTCATCTGATTTAGATAAAGTTGGATGCGTTTAATACCGCAAATTTTCAATAGATAGTGTATAATTATTTAAATACTAAGTTAGGTTATTTATGAGTGTGGTTATGTTATTTATGTGAATGTATTAGTTGTAATATACATATAGGAACAAAACCTGCACATGGATACATGGAGCTACGAGAATTTGATATGATACTTGTAGAACCAGAGTTTAGGGCTAAAAAAGCTCTATATCTGACTATAGTTTAAAATATCAAAAGAAGATTATCTTATTATATATATATATATTATTAATAATTGGGGCAAATTAAGGTGCAAAACTGCATTTGGTACAGGAAAGGCTACAAGTTTTTTTTTTTAAGTGGACCAAATGGTTTAGTATACATATCTTTCAAATCGCTTCAGATATATCATCATAACTTATTGAGAAGAAGTGATTTTATCACCTCTTCAAACTCTGTGAAAATGGGTAAAATCGGATAATAACCACACTCACTCCCAATATATCGGTTATGTTGAAAACTACTAAAAGTTCTATAACTCACTGATTAAGTGAGTCACAAGCATTAAATTACACAACCAGGATGGTAGGAAAGGGCTTTTTAGGATCTGATGTGAAAATTGGACAAGGGGCGTGCAACCGCGATTAGACGCTGCAAAGAATGCGAAATCGGATGGCAACCACGCCTAATTCCCATATAACAAATTTTTCAATTTCTATTCTTATTCTTTCACTTTACAGTATACAAACCAAACATCAATAAAGTTGTCAGAATAAAACTTTGCTGCAATAGGGACCTCAAGGTATTTCATCTTTCGTCCAAAAGTTATCGAACTCGCACCATAACTTGTGCCAAAAATGGGTAAAAGCAGGTCAACAATTCTCTTAGCCTCCATATACGAGTATCTAACATAACTATTTTCGAACCTCCGGTTCACTTATACCGCATCTATAGGTCAATAGGAATCTTAATGAAATTCAGAAAGCATATTTTTCTAATAACAGTGTATCCTCTTTCCTTAAATGAATGAAATCACGGCTATATTTTCCTTAGTTTGATATAAAGTTTTGCCGAACCATAATGGTGCTCCTGCGCCTTTGTTTCTTGCAATTTGCAAGAGTATGAAATATTCGGTTACACCCGAACTTAGCTCTTCCTTACTTGTTTTAGTTAAATTTTATCGCAATTTTCAGTATTTGCCAACTTAGCAATACAAAATCATGTTATTGAGATTTTTGGAGAGGAATAAGAAGAACACCTACCTAACTAATAGGTAATCGCAAGGACATGTGAAAAATAAGCAACTTTTTAAGATAGCCCACGCTTTGATCGATATATTCGAAATGAAGTCCATTAGGCTAATGAACAACATTATATTATATACATATAAAATAAAAGTTTGACCAATTAAAATATTAAAATTTTTTTTTTGTGTTATTAAACCATATCTTTTTGTTTAAAAAAATTCAAATAATTTAATAAACAAAAGACACAGAATTCATTTACTTAAATGGAAAAAGTCTCCGCTCATCAAACTGAACACAATAATATCAAGTAATTATGAAAAGTTTAATAGCTGGTGGGGTAGCCTCGAAATTTTAGAACTTCTGGTAGACGTTTAGGCATGGAATGTACTAATTTCCTCGTATTTTCAGCCGGCATTTTACTCCATTCATCCAATAAAACGGTCTTGAGCATTTCTGTGCTGGTAATCGTATGTGTGCGAATTCAGCGCTCCATTAGAGCCCATAAATGCTTAATTGGAATGAGGTCAGGTAATTGTGGAGGTGAATGTAGCTGTTTTGGAGCAGTGTAAAGAAACCAAGGGCGAGTTCTGCTGTATGTTTAGGGTTATTGTCCTGTGGGAAACAAAACACGTTTGGCAATCCTAATTTGTCAGCACTTTGCTTCATTTGTCGACTTAAAATATTTAAATAATCAAATTTATTCATTATATTTTCGATAAACTTAATGCAACCAACTCCACTTCCTGCCATACACCCACACACTAGAACTTCATCCCCACCATGCTTCACGGTTTAAGTAAGATTCTTCAAAATTCTTCAAAAGCCGTACCAGTTTTTTGCCACACTATCTTTCTTCCTTTTATTCCAAATATACAATATTTCGTCTCATCCGACCATAAACCCGATTCCCAGAAAGGTATAAGCATGGTTATATTTGCGAAAAAATGCGCTTCATACGATTTTTTAAGGAAATTAATAGCTTTTTGCGTGCCACTCGCCCATGATAACCAGCCCTTTTCAATATTTTTCTTGCTGTGTCGCTGGATACTGTAGTTTTACATATTCTGCTATCTAGGACGCGATTAAAAGCGGATTAACCTTCACAAGAGATACAACTTTGCTTGTTTCCAGATTAGTCAATACTCTCGGACGTTCAGATTGAGACTTTGAAGTAATAATTCCCGTTTTTTTGAAAGTCTGGATGACGTATCGCACTGATGACTTTGCTCTGTTGACAACTTGTCCAATTTCACGAAAGCTTTTACCGTACCCCCTAAATTTTATCTTATATTATTGTCTTTTGCACTCATCTCGATTAACGCTGAATAATTCGAAACACTTACACAAAAATTGCAGATTTTTCCTTCGCTTGCTTGCTTATTCTGTATTAGTAGAATTAAAAAAATGCCCTTGATCTTGCAAACGCACATACGAATTCCATGCAATTTGGCGACTGTAATGATATTAGCATACGCATCTGATATTCTGAAAAGAACTTCAAAAACGCACATATTTATACTCTCGCAACCTGTTGCTACAGAGTATAATAGTTTTGTTCACCTAACGGTTGTTTGTATCACCTAAAACTAATCGAGTTAGATATAGGGTTATATATATATAAATGATCAGGATGAAGAGACGAGTTGAAATCCGGGTGACTGTCTGTCCGTCCGTCCGTCCGTGCAAGCTCTAACTTGAGTAAAAATTGAGATATCTTTATGAAACTTGGTAGACATGTTTCTTGGTACCGTGAGACGGTTGGTATTGCAGATGGGCGTAATCGGACCACTGCCACGCCCACAAAACGCCATTAATCAAAAACAAATAACTTGCCATAACTAAGCTCCGCAATAAGATACAAGACTGTTATTTGGTACACAGAATCACATTAAGGAGGGGCATCTGCAGTTAAAACTTTTTTTAAAAAGTGGGCGTGGTCCCGCCTCTAATAGGTTTAATGTGCATATCTCCTAAGCCGCTAATGCTATAATAACAAAATTCACTAAAAGCAAATGCTTTTAGCACTTCTATTGACGGTGTGAAAATAGTTGAAATCGGGTGGCAACTCCGCCCACTCCCCATATAACGGTACTGTTAAAAACTACTAAAAGCGCGATAAATCAAGCACTAAACACGCCAGAGACATTAAATTTTATCTCTGAGATGGTATAAGATGACTTTATAGGAACCGCGTTCAAAATTAGACAGTGGGCGTGGCACAGCCCACTTTTAGGTGAAAACCCATATCTTGAGATCTGTTTAACCGATTTCAACCAAATTCGGTGCGTAACGTTCTTTTCATGTTTCTATGTCATAGTGCGAAAATGGGCGAAATTGGACTACAACCACGCCTATTTCCCATATAACACCTTTTTCAATTCCATCTGATTCTTTCACTTTCCACTATGCAAATCAGGTAACAATGATTATATCGGGGTAAAACTTTGCGTGAATAATGCAATTAAAGTATGCCACCTTGCGGCCAAAAATTGTCTAAATCGAACCAAAACTGTTCAAACCCCTAAGTACTAAATATGTGGACCCCAGTGCCTATAGTTGACCTTCTACCGAAAATATCAGTCAATCCACAAAGAAATCTCAAACGAGTATACCATTTGACTTTGCGAGAGTATAAAATGTTCGGTTGCATCCGAACTTAGCCCTTCCTTACTTGTTTATTAATATTTTTATTGACACAAATTCCACGAATTGGTGAACGGAGACTTTTTGTACCTAGTATATATATAGGGGATAGAGTCAACCAGAACAACCAAAATCATTTAGTAATAAACGACAGTACTGTTCTAAATGAAATTTTCACTTTTTTTCATTAGGAAATGTAATATGGGTAAAGCATATTTTCGGTGTAAAGTCAGGCGTATGCATTGAGATCCTTTTGTATATTCGATGTCTGGGAGAAAGGAAAGTTATAGACTAATTAAAAATTTATTAGTTCACGAGACATGTACCCTATATTACGCCAGATCTCCACAGGCAATGTACATTGCAAACCATCTGTTAAATACATTACCATTGAGGTTGGCAATGTTCTTGTGTGGGTATTTGCTATCATGCATTCATTCTCGAAATGGCGTCGAGTAGGTATGTTCGAGCCGATATAGCGCATGTTTGAGCTCTTGAACCTTTTAAAAATTTTATGAGGATGACAAAAATTTATGTGCGGGATAAAAAAAGTTGAACTATTTTGGAAAAATAAGATTTTATGTTTTAAGACTAAAATAATTTTTGCGTTAAGTTTATTTACCAATTCGCTAACAATTATGATTAAAATATTAATCATACATTTGTAGGTATAATATTTAATAACTATTTTCCATGTTCTGTTAAAATTTAAAAGCATTGGCATTTCACCTTTGCTGGGATTATGCCACCGAAGCTATACATATACTTATATATGTACAAGTATATGTTGCCTCTTCAAAATTTGTGTGCAAATGAAAACAGCTCTGTCAAACTACCAAAATGACAGTTCATTGCTAGCAATGTATGGCATAAAATGTATTTAAACATCAATTGCTAAACATTAGCAATGTGCAGTCAGTCTCCATTGCCAATGTTGCTAGCAATTTAGATTTTTCGCAATTTTTTAATTGCCTGTCGAGATGTCCTTTAGGGTGGGTCAAAAATCCTGAATATTTTTTTTCGCTTCGTACTCTACAAAATAGGTTCGCAGACACTTCTAAGAAAGTTTATTCAAGTATGAGCTCTAAATTGTAACAGAACGGTCCTCCGCCTTACAGCGCCTAACGGTTGAAGTATGGTAATTTTCTGGCAATTTTTTTTCTTATGAATTTTATAACTCAATGAAAAATATTAATTATAAATCGGAATACTCATAGTTTATGGGAAATTTACAGCTCTACAAAAACGGTCTCTAATAATAAAAAAAAAGATATATATATATATATGTATACTAGAAGACCCGACCATGCGCTCCTGTAGATACGGTATACATAAGTATATTAAATTTTATTATTATAAACTATTCAATATAGTAAATGGTATTTGTGCATAAAGACGAAAACGTTAAAGTCGGTACAGTACCATTGGAATACTTGACAACAGGCCAGTCCTAATGGTTACTTCAGTCAAATTTCCTGTAATCTCTTTGATTATAATGATAATTATCAAACGTGTACCGTTTAATACTCGAATTGGATACAAATTCCTCTAAATAATAATAGGTGAACCATATATTTAGAAACACAATTTGGCATTTTTTTTTCATTTTAATTCCCGTCAACAAAATTAGCGATTGATTAAAAATACATCGGAGCACCTGCCAACAACTGTTGTGTTCAGAAATAAATTTCGTCAACATCTACATTTGTTTCCGCTATTGTAGCCCGAGTACTGATGATTCAAATAATAAATTTTTATTTCCAGAAAAATACTCTTAATCAATAAACTTTTCTCGTGAACAGGGTGTAGAAATTGTCTGGCAATTTAATACATTGTGTATTTGGGTGTAGTTCTATTATACCATTCCCAATTTCTAGCAATTGTTCGGAATACTTGTATATTTTTGCTGGTTATTTAATTTGTAATTGCATACCGATAATTATGGTTAATCAAATCGTCTCAACACTTAACTATAAGAACGATTGTTTAAAGTTTAATATTGAATTAATTTAAGCGAAGAATGATCGATCTGTCGGAACTGCCGAAGCCATTTTCTGTTGTGAAGAATTGTCTTGCCGGTTCCATATGGTACGTCCAAGAAAAAAAAACCACATTGTTCACAAATTACTTGCAGTAGCTATATTTGTAAGATGAAATTTTAACTCCTGCTTATGATTTGATACATACGTTTTTTTTATTTATGAATATTTTTGAATTTTAAAAGATAAAAAGAATCCCATGTCCGTCTGCTGATTAGAAGCTATCTCCCACCAATTTGCAGCCAACTCGGTTCATGGCTGTAGATCATAATACCGTGGATTGGCGTCTACACGATCAATGACTTAAGCGCAAAGAAACTTTAATGATGGATAAAACTCCAACAGAAGCAAGCATGTACTCATTAATTTGGACATTTTCGCATTTTCATTTTATAAGTTATGTATTATAGTTCTTTCTGTTATTTAAAGAAAATCAAATCTTTCCTGGACCACAAATGATAACCGATACCCTCCAGCCTTAGTTATAAGAATTAATTGCATCACCTTTTTTAATTTTTAAGGGAATTTAGTTTATATTTTGTTTTTTATATCTTTAGATGTACACTGGCTTACGAATCGTGCTACAAAAACAAACTGTAACAACTTTGTTTCTAATCAATGCATTAAATTTTTTTTATAGCTAATTTTATTTTATATAATTAATTATTCTTAAAAATTATGGAACGTAAATGGCCTTCATGCTCAGCCACGCATATGCGCCACCTAATCAGAAAATTATTTATTGCGGCCTGAAGGGTTGAAGTCGGGATTTACCCAGTTATCAATTTAATGGTCTGCTTCAATAGAGTCAGAGATCTAAGTTTTGTTTTGTACACTTCTTGCTTAATATAACCCCATAAACAAAGTCTGGTGCAGTCAGGTCAGGTGACCTTGGAAGCCTGCGGAAAATGGAGTTTCTTGATGTTAAGTTGTTTTCAAATTTTCGTTGGAGCTCTGCAATAATCGCTATGTGTGCAGTTGCTCCATCTTGCTGGAACCAAACGCTATTGAAAGGGATACGTCTTCGGCGCATCTGGGTAAAAAAACTCATCCAACATCTTTAAATATCTGTGCCCATTGACAGTTACTGCTACACCTTTTTCTTCAAAGAAACAACTCATTCTGGGTGAGGTTCTGTCTCTTGCATTATTTCTGGATTTGATTTACTCCATATATACCAATTTTGCTTATTTATATTTCCGTTTATGACCGTCTGCTATCTCCAAGTTGCGCCGATAAGTTGCGAATCGAAACTCATGGATTTCTATATCGATGGTACGGTCTTCTTACGATACTTCCAGATCCGACAAACATGTTTACCAATCTCATATGGACCATATACTCGGGGGAGTGCCGCCAAAATACCGTCAGAATTCCCTTTTGACGGAAAATACGGACTGCAAACCCTCTTTTTCTCTATTAAAAAATTTAAACAATAACCAGCCAAATAAAATCACTCTGAAAAAAAGTTATTACGGTTTGTTTTTGTAGCACGATTCCTGAGCCACCCTGTATTATCAATAGTAAAAGTATGTAAAATAATATGTACATATGTAATAAATAAATAATTTTATATTTAAAAGTTTTGTTTGAAATTTTAAAATTAGAAATCCGAAAAAGCAACCCTACGTCAGCAGACGATTAGGGAAATTAAAGCAGTTCAGCTATATATTTTTTGTATGACACTGCCAAATGAGAGCAACAGGGATGTATGCGCGTGTAAGGAGAAAGTGGTGAAGATTGTTACGCCGCCTATGGCGTGTTCACCACCTTTTTC